TCAGTCTCAGCCCTAGGTGATGTGGTTTTTTGGCTTCACCATTTTGAAATTGCTTGCCTAAGAATTTTAGGCTTTCACATTCTTGTGTAAGAACTCACAACTCCCAAATAGGCAGAGCTGTCGAAAAATCAGGGCAAAAGATTAATATATTAAGACCTGATAGTTTAGCTTTGAAAGCATATCAGAACAGTCATATACTTGGCATCAGATTCTGAAAACGAACTACTGAAACATGCAATGACCTCTTTGAAGTCCTCACTGCTTTCATGTCCTGATTCATCTAGGCACTGGTAGGGTTTTGGCTGTACGCGGAACTGTGTTCCTAGCACAGATCTCAAAGGATATCTACTTCCAGTATTAGCAGTAGGGCAGAGTTCACTCAGTGTGATCACCTGTATACAGAGATTTGAAGAGGCTTTTTTTCTTTTCTTTTCTTTTTTTTTTTTTTTTTAAATAAAGAATTGAAGATTGCTGCCCATACCCAAGACTGCTGTGTTTTGGGCTTGGGCTACACATCTAATCTTCCAGGCACCAACTATTTTTTGCTGTAACCAGTACTGACTCTGAGTGGCATACACAAACTTGTTGCAAAGCATGTCCCTTCAATTTATCGCAAGTTCTCAGATTTATTTAACGATATCAATTGTGCCACCTAGACCTCATTTTAGGTTTTATTGTGTATCCTATTTTAAAAAAAAGTGGTGTTCCCATTCCTAAAGTATATAATAAAACACATGTATGCATGTATTTAGTATTCAATGTAATAATCATACAGATAATTCCTCTTACAAAATTACTTTATCATCAAGGCATTTGGTCTGATAACAGAATTCTAACCTTCCATAGAAGAGCTTCTATTTCTACCCAATAATCATTAATAAGGAAATTAATTAGACTCTTAAAACCCAAAGGACCTAACTGCCATTAGTACTTCAACAATCACCAATAAATTCAGGAAATGCAAAGTAAAGCACTAACTGCAAACACAGGTTTTATGATTTTCTTCAAAATCATAGCAGAGAGGTCAATGTCCTGTGCAAATCAATCTTTTAAATGTCTTGCTGGTTGCTGATTACTGCCACAACCTTATCATGACTCAATATTACTTTACTTGTATCAGTCATTTAAAATAAGAGGACAGATAGGATTACTTATCAATGACTGTCATTTTGGCGGTATGTTCAGAATGTATCCCCAAACCTGATGGTGTGGGGTAACTCACTTGTCAAACGGATCACATTTAACTGCCATAAGGATGACCAAGCACTACCTTTATCAACTGTGTTCTAATATGCATACTTGCTCAGGTACCATAAATACAAGGTTGTTCCTTTATTATTCAGTGCGTTGTTCATGTCGAAATCCTGAGTTCCACCAGGAATATTGCTGGGCAGCAGAACAGCTGGCCTTCCCTTCAGGTCCCTCTGATTTTTCATCACAGGAGTTGTATGAATGGTAGATTCCCAACACCACAGCAAAAACGATTATCGCCGCCACTAAAAGCCATACCACATTCCAGTGTTTACACAGTTTGGGGTACAGTATATGTAAATAATTAATGATGACTTCAAGTCTGCTGTAAAATTAAAAGAAAACTGTTATATATTAATCATACACAAATTTATTTTCTTAAGCTTTTCAATTTGAAAAGTTTCATAGATGTATAGTGCACCATCTTTCTTCCAAACACAAACACCTTGTCGAAGAATCAGACAGTTAGGTTCTTAAAAGAAGAGCTGTACGCTTAGATATGGGTAATATTGCAAGATGGCCGAAAACTGTAAACTTGATTTCTATTTCTCCCACCTGTCAACTAGCAAAATCTCAGAGCTTAATCTGATGTAAAATTCTGCACTGTTCATTGCTTGCTCAACTAAACTAAATATTAGAACATGTTGTAAACATTTCTTCCTAAGAGTTTCATGACTAGTGAGGTGGCTGCCCTTCTGAACATGGCTGAAATCTCAAATTAACAGATGTTTATAATCATAATGGTTATGGAATGGAAATGAATTCTTCTGGATAAGGTAAGGATCCGTACCTTAGCTTGGGATTGGACATATTACTTGCTTTGGCCAGCATTCAATTCCTCTCTAATGCAAAAGTCTCTTTGCTTTTAAAATACAGGAAATTGCAGGTATATTGAATTGGGCAGTAGAACCACCAAGGAAACTCAGTAATAAACTCTAAGAAAAGTTGAAAATTTCAGAAAAGTTTCCCAGTTAGGCATCAAATGCTTCAGGTAAGACAATAAGCAGATGATTCAAAAGTCCCCAGAATAGATAAAGAAGATTTGGAACCAATATGCAATAAACATGTTACTCTGCTGAAAGGCAGGAACTAGCACAGTGCAGTTCTGCTGCATCTACACTGCTTCCAGAGGGAGCAAGCACCTGTCTGTCCAAGTCAGAGCAAGTCCTACATAGCTGAGGAGCTTGTCTTAATCTGCATTCACCTTGTAGATGTACTGAAAGACTCACCTGTGAAGACCCTTTGGGAATGACATATAGCACAAATCTGGCCATCAGATTCTTGAATTACAATTTTGATCAGATAATGCGTGCCTACTGACAGATACATTCTGGCATCTAAAGATCTTCTGTGAAGCATTTTTTAACTTCAAATCAAAACTAAACCCCATCAAGATGAAGCATCTGGATATCAACCTACAGTTTCAGTTGAAATATCAAAATAAAAAGTTTTGCATTTTGCAACTATGTTACGTTGGAATATGCCTTTCTGTAAAAATACTGTTATTCCAAACATGCTTCCCTAAACTGGAAGAAAACATGTCAAGATAATAGTATAAAACACTTGGTTGAGTACCACAAACAGAAAAAAATGGCTTCTCTTGTATGGACATATTACACCACTGTCTCACCTGCTTTTCAGGTGTTTTATCTCATCTTCATTTTCACTTTCTTCAGGTTCATCATGACTTTCTTTTGGTATCTCTTCATCTTCTTCCTTCAGTTCTTGAAGTTCTTTGGTTTTCTTCAAGCCTTCCTGATAGCTTTAACACAAAAAACATTTTTCTTAGTCTACCGCACAGTGTAAGCCTGTTCCTATATAACAAAAAATTAGTTTTAGTGTTTTATTACACGTAACAAAACAAAATAGTAGCATTGCAGCACTTAGACACGAGTAAAATTTAGCTGAAGACCATGAATATGACACACAGACAGCCACTCTTCAGTAACATACTGAAAAGAAAAAGAGGTTATAGTCCTCAGCAGAGAACAACTTGTGCCTATTGTAAAGGGGTTGGCAAGTATTTATCTATTATTTTTCAATAATTTTGAACACTCTCTAGATATTTTTTTTCCTGGAGAATAAATGCAAATCAAGGCATAGAGGGCTTGTTGGATTCTGCAGGAGAGGATCAAAATTTTTGTCTCACTCTTAATATAGCACAAGGTTCTTTGCCTGACATTCAGAAACAGATCCCAAATGCTAATCACCCCAAAACATGCTGTGTAAAGCACTTTGTGACATAAACAACACGAGTTTACTGCAGGAGTTGATACTTGCTCTTCAGTAATTTCCATGTACGTTTTTCAGAATAAACATTTTGGAAAGTTGTTTTGGATTAATCTATCATGAAGCTGAACGCTATTGACATAAGAACATCCACCCAACTCTGAATCTCTGATGTAACAGCTCTCCTACAGTTTGGCTAACATTAATAAAGGATGAAAGTGAACAGCTACAGTGCAAGTACAATGAGTGAAGCTCACTGGCATTGTTTCCCACATTGCTTCAATTACGACCATCCCCTAGGAGCTCACATAGATTATGTCACTCATTTTGCATTTACAATTACATTATAAAACCCTTTGCCCTCATCTGGTAGCACATATTTATGGATTTAGTTCATATAAAGTGTTCCCACCCTTTGTTATACGCTTCCTCTTCTATCTTGGCTTTAGTTTCAGGATTGATCTCTTCCAGCCCACTCTGTGTCAGCACAGAGGTAGAGGTTTCACAGTCGGGCTCTCCATTAGTCTTTCCACTGCCAAGACAGAAAAAACAGACAAATAGAGAATAACACCACTGAAATGTATTGTATTTGGAGTATACTACTGAACAAGAACAATCACACAATTTTCTTCTTTAACATACATCGGAGAAATGAAATGTCTTTCAAAAGAAAAAAATTAAACACTAAACAAAATTTTAGTTTCAAAATGCTGTAATTTAAGAACAGTAATTAATATCTTTCAAAGGTATTAAAACTTGCATTTTGTTTCTTCTTTAAAAAAAGACAAGAGCATTTGCTTCCTGGCTTATCCATGGCATTTATTTGCTATTCTTGAAAACATTTCCCTCAGCTTCCCAAAAATCATGTTGGAAATTGTAGCCTGCTGTGTCAGAACAAAATAATAGAAATAATACTGAATACTAATTTAACAAAACATTTTTCTTAGCCTTTCAGGTACTTCTCTCTGCTGACTATACACTGAACTGATGCACAGGATAAAAAAATACATATACATAGTTTTTGTCACTAAAACTTATCTTAAGTAAAAGCTTTGAGCATCGAGCCTAAAGATGAGCCATTGTATATTGCTCTCTTTCTGCAGTGCTCACCTGTCCTTATGTACTTAAGACTGTGACAAAGAGTTTAAGTGATTCAGACATGACTTAGCAAATCTATCAAAGTCAGGGTTTAATGAGCTCAACGGAGGATCCCATTTCAACTTCTGGAATCTACCCCTTTTTGTAGGCCTTATTTTTTCTGGCACTAAAATCAATGACAGAATAATTCATCCTGACTGACACCATCTGTGGGCAATGGATTTTCTCTCAAGAAGTCAAATTAACAGTAGACATTATTTTCACTTGAACTTTAAACAAATCATCAGTATAAGCTTGAAATGCTTAAATATACAAAATTCTGCTGAAATATGTAATTTTACACTACTATAGCAGCTAGCCCATGCATGCATACATACTTATGCTCAAACTTGAATTTCAAGTTCTATTTCTGTTACTTGATAACACAATTTGTCTTTGTTAAGATCCAGTAAGAAATACTGATAAAGCTTGTTTTGTTTTGGTTTTTTTAAAGAACAGTTTCAAAAGATGGTCTCAATCTTGCAGAGTTCTGTTGAGTTGTAACAACTAGTGCCACAGTTCACTGTTTTCGTTCTCCCAATTGTTGCATATTTCCATTCTCAGAAAAGCACAGAGATAAAACAGACACAAGATAAATTTTTTCCTGCCTAAGCATTACTCTAAAATACATGAAATTCAATATTCTGTTCTGATGTGAGATTTAAAGCTTTTAATTTGCATGTTTAAAGCATCCTAACAAACTTTAATTTAAATTGCAGATATTTTATTGTGATATTGTAAAACAGTCTAAACAACCAAAGTAGTAGTAGTAACAAAACCAACAAAAATCAATGTGATGTTTTAGTACATTTCACTTCTGAAATATCAGCTATAAACTTCCTTAGAATGGGTGACATCTCCTGAAAGAGATAAGTAGTTGGAAAAGTGCCTGACAATTTTTAATTTTTGCTTACTACAGTGATCATACATATGAATAAAGTATACACACATGGGTTTGCAAATGCAACAGTACCTGTATCCATAATGGTAACTGTTTACAAAGATCTTGCAGGACAGCTTGAGTATGCCTTCTATTCTCATCCCAGTCTCAATACATAACTTGTATAACATTAAATTATGTGTCTACATGAATTTCAACTAGAAGAACTTAAAAGTTCTGTCCAGAAATGTGTAGATGCACATGCTTTCCAGCAAAGCAGTTATTTGCTTTTCTTGTCCATATAACTATTATTTTGCTCTGAAAGTAGTACTATTTAAACCTATGGAACTATTATGGAAAATGGGCAACAACAGCGCAGCTTAATCCAACCAGGACATCTACACTAATAGTAAGTAATACAGAGTCAAAAGTGCAAATGTTTAAATGAAAAATATTTTTGCAATTTGTAGGTACTAGAAAGATATGGATATTGATGTATTTGCTTGTTAACAGGCTAAAAAAAATAATAAAAACCCTCTTATTTCGTATCTCTATTGTTTCTTTTTTAATGCAAACTTCTCTGGCTGTTATAACTAAAATCTCAGGTTCTTAAAACTAAAATCTCCAACTAAGGCTTTAATTTAGCTGAATGTTCAATTCATTTTATACTAAAAAAAATAACTGCTACTCAATTTAATAATTGTTTTGACTGCTGCAAAATTTTGATCAACCTAAGCCAATATTGTGTCACTGATTTTGCCTTGGTATAACTTCTGTTATGAAAGATAGAAATTACACCATTTTCATTTCACACTAGGATAACAGGTAATTCATAATAGGTAATGAGATGACCTAGAGAAAACTCACTTTTCTAAAAGTGCTGGTAGAACAGGAGTAGATGTTAGGTTGCTCCTTCCATTACTAGGTGATTCAGACTGCAAGTGAAAAACAGCAATAAATGTTACATCCAAGAATTAATTTCAAATGAGTCTACAGAAAAATGAGAAAGTCAATGTGCCTCTTACATTTTCTTCCCACACCCATAAGCAAGGTACCTTTAATATGGAGCTTCCAAATTACTCTCACTAATCACAGTAAACAATAGACTTGCACTCTAAGAAGAATTTTCTGCAACTTTCCCTTCTACACTGCTTATTTTTTTCCAAAAAGTCGTCTTTCTTCTTTGTATATTGATCACTGAACAGTAAAATTATTCTATCGCTTCTCTCCATATTATCCTAGGAACATTAATTTGTTAGCTGAGTTTTCAGTGGAAAATTCTAAACAAAAATAAATCATTATAAATCACGGTAAACAAACACACTTGATTCCTGAAACAATTGACTCTGAGTACATAATAACTAAATTGCACCAACAGGTTGTTTTCTTAAAACTAAAATGGATTTAGCTTCTCAGCAAAATTCCTCATTTAAATAGCCCTAAATTTTTAACAGAAAACTGCATAATTCTCAGGTTATATGCCATCATAGTGCGTATCTGAACAGTTGGTATACCTTGCTGTTTTCCTCCAAAGCATTTATATATATTTATTAGAGTCAGTTTAGATTCTCATTTAAATTATTAAAATTTTATAAACAAAACATCAAGGCAGAGGCTGATAGCTCCACTAATCCCAGATCATCACAGAATCTCTAAATTTGTTCCACATGCATTTCTGTACACTAACTACATGTTTTTCTGTTTAGTGAACTTTTTGACAATGAACAGCAGCAGTCCAATCATCTTCTATGATTTCTAGTTAAAATTTCTCTCCTACAGCAGACAACTATTTTTACTACTTTTTTCCCGTATGTTACTACAGATATAAAGGCAAATTGCCTCAACTAATGTCTAATACCTCTGAATCATCAGCTAGCCCTATTCAGCTTTGTGTCCAAAGTGATCATTTCTGAAGGTAGATTCTGCAGGCATATGTTCCTTACGCAACAAGAATTACCTTTGTCCATCTCCTTCACTAAGATGGAGTCAAATCAAATTAAACCAAAGAAAGGGCTTACATTTTTTAGTAACTATGGCTTGGCCTTATGTAAAAGTGGTTTAGACAAAAAGTAGTATTTTTAAAATGTGGCTTTTACTTACCAGGGATGGCAATGAAGGTACAGGTGAAGCTGTTGGTGACTGACCGGGAATGTTTAAGGAGTTAAATTTAGGAACAACAGCAACACTGACTCTCCTCCGAGGCATATTCTGTAAGAAACAACATTTTTTTTTCTATCATACAACAAGATAGACTGAAGAACAATTCTGCAAGTTAATAGGTGTGGCAAAGATGTAGGTTAATGTCCCTTGGCGGAAAGGACAGTTGGGAGCAAAATTAAGATAAATGGCTGTTAGGGCTGTGGTCTTCCCCAAAACCTCCTCTAGTACTGTCTGGTATGGCAAGTGCTTAGTGTGAAATGAGGTGTTGTACAGGGATGCTACTCTTTTCCCTCCACAGTGAAAGCCCAATAGTATCAGTCACGCAACAGATAAGTTCCGCGATGATATTGTCAGTTCTTATTAAAGTCTATTATCTTTGGTTAAATCAAATGTATAATGATACTGGGAAAAGTGTCAGTGTTACAATGACCGGAAAATAATGAAGTTACACATGAAACTCTTCTCTGGCCACGTTCCCATTATGATATATTGTACCCACTATGATGTATTAATTATTTCTAAATCTACAAATTATAACTTGCAGAAACAATAACATCCGTTCCCTCCCATCCTGCTTCCCCACCCTTGAGTTGTTAGATATCTATCTAGTATCATGTGATGTTGCTTACATTTCCTAAAGATCACGGAAATTCTTTATATGATAAACACGTGCTAGATGTACATAATATATTCTCAAGTACAAATCATGTAAGTTCTTGCTGTCATTAAGTAGTCAAATGCGTCATCCTATGATATACACCTAGGAAAATCCATGCTTTCATCTGAGTAAAAAATCCAAGCATTTATAGCATCTAACAGCTTCATTTTAGTGCACATCCAAACACTTCTAAGATTCTGCTCTAGATAACTTTACAGGAAAGGAGTTGAACACAGATTTACTAAATATATAGGAGTCACCTACTCCATGATCCTGGTTCTAGACAAAACCAACTATTATCTATTCATTAAGGACAGAGGTTTATCTAATGCGCTCCTGAAAAACTACACTGGGGAATCTGCAGCCATGTTAGACAGTCCATTTTAGTGTTCTGGGTTCTTTTTTCCCCCCTCTATTATGTGGACTTGTACTTGTCCTTGTTAAATTTCATCTTTTTTTGAGACCTCTGTTTCAACTTATCTGGTTCTCATTCTGAAATCTAGTCTTGCTCTCAGCATGCTCCGTGCTCTAATTCTTTCTATCCAGCTCTCAGAGGCGGCAGTAATAAACTAAATCTAAAGAACTACAACCCAAGCAAAAAACATGTACATATCTCAATCTAACACAAGAAAAAGATTTGATGCCTGTAGGCTCCATCTAAAAAGAATCAGAGTAGAAATAAAGACCAAGGATTGTCCTGAGGACAATTGTCCTTAGGACAATTCAACAACTGGAAGGACTAAATATCAGTAGTGCTGAGTGATCAATTGAAAATATTTAAACCAAAATTGTATATATAATGCCTCTGACCACCAAATTTCATCATGGTCACACTGGCACTCGGCTCTCTCAAATTACTGGCTGTTTTAGGAATTTTTGTAATTAACTTGATCTCCAACACTTAAGTTTTGCAGAAATGGACACTGGCCATGTTAAAGTTAACTGGTCAAGCCAAAACAATCTGAGATAATCTTTCACTCTGAATGCTTTGTCAAACCAAAGAAGATACTTTGATGCTAACTGAAAAATGAACCTCACTTAAAAATAACTGTTTACATCTAAGGTATTCTGAACATGATATAATTCTTATGATAATTAAAATGGTATGATCATAGAATCCTGAATCATGTAGTAATTTTTGATTCAATGTTCAGCTGCCTCACAGAGGAACTAGATTAAAGCACAGGACCTAAGCCATTCTCTGGAGCATAGGTATGTGGCCTGGAATATAATTATTCTTCATTATTTATAGCTTCACAAAAAGTATTAACATTATTGCGCAAACTCATACTTAATCATGTATACAAAATTACATAGCATTTGCACTAAATTACATTAACAATATTGAGAATTTACCAGCACTATGTTTTGAACACAGCCTATAAAAGCGAGTGTATATAGCCAAAGAAATTTCACTACATAAAACATTCACTTAGTTTTCTTTATATTACAGAAATACCTTTCCGACAGTAAGAGACATGGATCTAGTTGAACGAGGCACTCCATCTTCTGTATAAAAACAGTAGATAAAGAACAGTCTTAGACTATATGAGTATCTATAAATAATATGAATAGAGCTCTTGCTTGTATTTCAAACTCAGATATAGTATATTTATACAAGGCCCATAGTGACTGCATATTTATCTGTCATACAGTTCTGGTCTCAATTACACCTGCAGAATAAATTTTAAATAATTGCAAAAAATTGAACCATTACTATCTTTACTGAGATCAGGCAAAAGTCCATGATTTGCTTCCGTATACAGATTTTGCAAAAGGAAATACTCATATTTCAGTTTCTGGCCAACTAGGAAATAAAAGGTTGCAAAAAGAAAAAAATCTATTTAATAATGAAATTTTGCCATCATCCATCATCTAAGAGGTAGTTGCGTTAAAACTGTGCAAGTTACCCATATGGGCAAGAGGCCAATGAAAATGTCATTGGATCTCATCGGAATTTGGTATACAATAGTGATTTTAAATTACTGCACTAAATATGGCTTATACACAATATTTTAATTGTTGTATCTGTGACTTTTTGAAATCTACTCCTGTAGATGAGAACTTCATGAACAGCTTTCATGATATTTCACTTTTTCTCATTAATAGCACCAACACCCCCCTGTATAGAGGCAAGACAAACCCTTTTTTTTTTTTTTTTTACCAGATGCACCATAGCTTCGGCTAGAATTCTGATTGGCAAGTTTCTTGAACTCCATTAGTTCAGCATGATCCTTTTCATATGTTCTTTTCAGATTTTCCACATACTGCATCATTACTTCTGTTGCCTTTGACATACGCTTCTCCTAAGGAAGAAAAGAGAGGAATACTCAGATAACCTCTACACTTCTCAGACAAATCATTTGCCTCTATGTGTATGCTCCCTGTCAGGGCTACATCTGGAATAATTCTTCTTAAAGAAATATTTGTACCTTTGCGACTGAAAATTCCTAAGCTAATTAGAACACAAATGCACATGCATTCATATATATCCACAGAATATCATCATTTATTTCGTCACATATTTATGCAGTCTGACTGTGTGTCTATCTTATTACTTACATGGTGTACGTACATTTGTTTTCAAACTCTTGAAAGTCTTAGTTACTGGCATCAGTCTAGTTACTTTAGACGGCAGAGGCAAGTGTCTTGAATGTGGGAGAGTATTGCTGTGTTCTCATTTATACTTGCTCTGTTCTTATATAGTTCCCTGACTAAGCTATTGCCAAAGGCAGATGACTGAACTAGATGAGCTTTTTGACCCAGAAAAGTTTTCTTTTTCATGCTGCGCTGATTTTAAACAAGTTTCTTGTAATGCAGCTATAGTTCTTAATAATATATATGCTCCTATTGTACAGATGTTGAATAGCTTCACAGGTAATCTTATGTTTGAATTCTATTTCCAGACTGAAACGGTGTCTTATCTGACACATCTTTAATCTGTAAAAATGGCAAATAAAATTCAAACGGCTAATATAACCTCCAGCTATGGCCGAAAAAGAGAAAGAGTGAACATGCACAGCCAGGAGATGTACTGGACACCAGGATGCTCCTACCTGGCGAACGGCTCCAACCATCTCAGCACGACTAGATAGTCTAGCAGCTAAACGTCGCAGAACAGCAATATCCTCCAATAGCTTCTGGTAAGCTTCTCTGTGTTCATAGTGATGCCATAAGTGAGCTGAAGACTGAAGAGAAAATACATTACTTTATCGTCATGTCTTGCCACTTTTAGTTCGGATTAAGCAGCCTAAGCCACAGAAGTGGAGTAGAAATGTCTAGGCAGAACTACACATGGGCAAAATAGCACCTGAGGAGTGCCATCACTACCACCAGAGATAACCTAGCGAGTGCTACTGCTCTGTTTCAGAACGGTGCTTCACTGCGTACCGTAGGCACACTTTTCAAGGAGTCAGAGGGATAAGCATATTTACAATACTTATCCTTTTGAAATTAATGATGAATAATGCCTTGCTACCTGTGAACTTTACAAGCGTCAAGTTTATTTGAACTAGTACTTACAAATGATTGTCAAAACACAAAGGTTTTAATTTGTTAGGCACAACATGTTACGAAGGTCATTTGTGTTCTTTCAGTTCCATGATACTCCACTCATTTGGAAAATAAGACATAGTCTCAAGAATTCCAAATGTAAAAGAGTAATAAAAAATAATATGGCCTGTAAATCAAATGGCTATTGCAATTTCTTAACTATTTTTTGTCCATCAATGCACGTATTTATGCACTAGACTAATATCATCACTTTGATAGCTCAGGTTAATACTGAAAAGTATCAAAGCATATAACTTCCTTAGGATCAGTTACCAAAAGCAAGAGTCAATTTAGATGTTTTATTAGCCAAAGTCTTAGTGAACACCTCTTCACTGAATGAGTTTTCTGTTCACAGAAAACCTTGCTATGAGAAAATCCAATATAATGTAGTTCAGACTTACAGGCAGACTTGGTGATGCTGGATGATTCCTATATCCTTAAAGTGCATTTTCAGGATGCACCAGTTTTGACAATGAGGTTGTCTTAAGTAATTAATACTGTGTTGTCATTCACACAATTCTCCCTCTGACCAGCTGCATTGTGCCCTAGTTCTCAGCAACCCCTCACTTGTATTACTGCAAGAGTAAGTCAACACATCTGAAATGATGTGTGAAAAGAATCCCTCTTCATCCTCTTTTTCTCCTCCTCTTCAAAAGAAGGGAGTGACGTGCAGTAACTTTTTGAGCAGAGTCATTTGAGAAATTGCATTTGTAGAGCAAACCTTTGGTGTAGAAACACAGCCAAGAGACTGACGAATCTGGCGCAATGACAACAATCGCAACAACAAAAATTTCTGAAACTTATTTATCACTGAAGCTACTGTGATAATAAATTGCAGTTGAAATCATAGAAAATCATAGAAGAAAGCATAAGGGAATGTGTTTGAGAAAAACATGCACAGAATTTCAGATTTTCAGGTTTTTCTTGGCAACTGTAACTTGCTTGTTTTCTCAAGCAAATCTAAAGTTCATGTAAATCAGCTTTCTCTTGAAGCTGGGTTTTTGAATAAAACATCAGTTATCACAAGATTGATCAAAAAAAAAATCATAAAGACTGATAAAACTGTCACTGAGCCATATAATATGTGTCTGTCTTACAGAAATGAAGATCCCACTGAGACTGGAACAAGTCTAGGTCTAACGTGACACAGATTATACAGCAGTTGCCACTTCATTTAATTGCTTGTTAGTTTATTCCACTCTATAGAACAAAAGCTTTTGTAGGAATGGCAGTTTCTACTTTGTTATAAATTACATAGAAGAGCTTGTAAAAGCCAGACTGCAGCATGTGAACTGCATACAGGAGGAAAAAGCCAGTCACATCTGTCCCATGTTGTCCTTGGTGCCTAACTGAGGATTCTTAACAGAAATACATGTCAAATCTAACAGATTAATTGTTTTCAATTTTAAGAAGCCTTATACACTAGTTGTAAAAACATGTTTGTATACAAATATTATAATAAGCCCCTGAGATTTCATAGGTGGTTTCTGCTTGCTCTTTAAACAGAACAGAGGGAAGAGCAGCAAAACATTCAAAACTTTCTTTTTTTTTTTTTCAGGAACAATTAATCTGGAAATGCAGATTTGAAATTCCAGATGAAAAGATGTGAATATTACAATCTTTTTAAAATTCTAACCTTTCTCACCGATGGTGTTCTTGATAAAGTAAATGGGAGACTCATGTTCTCCTAACTATTTCTCAGAAGTATGGCAGCACCTCCTTGTAACATGCAAACAAGTCTGCAGGTATTCCATTTAGCAGGATGGTATCTAAGTGTCTGTTCCTTTTTTGCACAAAACCATGTGCAGCACATAAGTTGACACATCTCGGCGACATATTTGTCATTTCAGTTAGAAAATCCAGATAAAACTGGAAAGAAGGACTGAAACCTACTGCTGATAAAAGAACATCAGACACAGACGGAATGAAAATGTATTCAGGCCCATAATCTGATCCTGAGGTTGCATGTACTCCTTAAGTAATCCTCACTGTTTCCTTTCCTGTACTGCCTTCTATGATCCACAGTTAAGAGGTCTTCTAAGCCACAAATCTCAGGACTCAGGCTTTAGATCATTTCAGTATCTCACCTAACTGGACACCTCGAATTTACTGCTAAAAAACGTCTTGCCCAGGAGAGCATGGACCAGTGCTCAAATTGCAGTTCTGAATGCTCTTAGCTTTATCACAGACTTATTCCAAGAATTGAACAGCAGATTCATAGTATTTATTCCTGAAATCTCTTAGACATAGGGCAACACCCTCTACACATTTCCAGCAATGATGGCCCACTCCGGCAGAAAATGGTCTCTCTTGAGCAGAGTGGTATCCTGGCTTACGGTAAGGAGCTTGAGCAGCAGAAAATGAGGTTTTAGGGCTGAATTTACAACAGGTGTAAGTAAGCATAGCCACACATATTTCTAACGTGTGTGCACTTTCAGGTACACTATAGTTCAGAAAAAAGAACTATTGTTGTTTTCTTACCGTAATGGCTGCTTTAAAGTTTTCCAGTTCTTTCTCAGCATTCTCTTCAGTAAGATTTCTCTCTCTCTCTGCTTGGTTAATTCTAGATTCCAAGGTATAACTGTCATTTCTAAATGCCAAGGAAAGTTGTACAAATACATTCTGTTTGGATTAAAAAAAGGCATTTTTAAATAAGTGTCACAGTAATGTAATTTCCAGCAAAAACTTATGAGCAAGGTGTGTTTAACAAACTTTGATGCTTAAATAAGTATTGAAACAGAAAATTGAAAATATTTTTTTAATTAGATTGTTTCAAAAATTGTTTTTCTTTACTTCCTGTAAAATATGAATAAATGTGTTGCTGCCTCTTTTCCTGAATGTTTTTCTGGGAGATCAGTAGAGCAGAGAGACAATGAAGGAAGTAGCCTACCAGAAGTATCAGAATCACAATGGATCTGTTTTCTAGCTGGACTTCCTCCAAGGGTCCCCAAGGTTTTTAAACAGATAGCCTGCGCAGAGGAAGTCCAGGGATGAGCTCATCATTAGCATTGTTTTACCTAAGGGATAAACACCTACCACTGAAGCCAGCAACAGATTAAGTGCTAAAATTTTTATTCTTTTGCACTCTGCTTTTAAAGCTTGTTTCTTTCTTTACCAGATGCATTATTTCTTGGGGTTAATACTCTGCAAAGCACAAGGCACCAACAGTTCCATTAGATTAGAGCTATGTAAATAAAGATCTTTTTCTTGAGTGGCATGTGAAAAAAAACAGAAGAAACAAAGCCAGCAAGTTGAAGAGCAACCTATAAAAATATTATTGGCTTGAACTGAAAAAGTAAAAATTATGTACACCAACTGCAAGATATCATAAAAGACTGCCCCAAAGCTCCTATTGGCCAATACAAAAATGCAATTTAACTCATTAGTTTCTGGTCTTATTTAATATCGATTATTTTAACTACTGAAAAATAATATACTATTAATTAATACTATTACATTATAATAATTTTTCAAATTAATGTGTATTTTCTTATGAAGAATGCACAAACAAGTGTTTTGCTTATTCCTAATCTAAGTCTTTTTACAGATTATATTCCCTGTACAATTGCCCATATTTCATAAAATTGTTATTTTGATTGAGCTCAGTATGTTTTTTTTTCTGAGAAGTATTTTTTTGAAAACACGTAATTCCATTACCTAGTTCTAATAAACATCATTAGACTTACAATAACCACTTAAAATCGAGGCATATGTCTAAAATAATGACTTTAAGAACATACTTACCTCAACTTCTTTTTCAGTAAGTGGAGGAGAGCTAGAAATAAAAGCAAAAAAATCACATTTTCATTAGTTTTGTCTCTAAAAACAAAGCTATTTTAATATTTAATTGAAAAGAATAACAAAAGACATCCTCCCCTTAAATATTTTATTGTTTCTCTTGGTGAAATCAGTATTTAATTAATTCAATTCTACTTGTTATGACTAAACCCCATGGTTTTATTTTAAAAGCAACAGTACAGTATCACCTGATTATTGGCAAAAACATACCAAAGTGATAAATCATGAGTACAAGAGCAAGACAGAAGCTACCCTTTTGGAGTTGCAGGTGACTCAATACATTATAATTCAGATTATTATCTTTACCCGTTTTCCTTCTCTTAACAGTAGAAATCTCATGATGATGATCACAGATGGGCAGAGTTCAAAACTCAGCTCACTGTATACTGAACTATCCTGTTTCATCTGCAAACTTGGTTAGAAGTTAGCTAACAATGATTCTGACCATGACTCCAACACTGACAAAACACATGTTGGAGTTCATGAGTTTTCCACCACAAGAATGATTACTGGCTATCAAAAAACTAGAGAAAGTTACCAAAATGCAGTTTTATATAATACTATAAAAGAAAAGAGATGGATAACATTATATTGCAAGATCTCACTTAAAGGCAGTCATCCCATGTGTTTGAATTCACCAGTTCTTATTCCCTGTAACTGTTCCAAAATATCAGAGAGCTATTCAGTTTTATGCAAGTGAGTAGAGACAAGAAATATCTGAATGAAATGACAAGAGCTGTATACACAAATTCTAGCAGATGACAGTGATAGGAGGTGTAGTTGACACACATATCATGCACTGTGCAGACATGATACTTTCAGAAAATTCAAATATTATTGTAATATTCATTGCACCATTAATGCCAAATATAGAAATCAATGTATCTAGCATCAATGAGCAGCAGATTTTTCTTGCTGGAGTAGTGACTATAAGAAGGAAGGCCACTAAGTACCCTGTGTTGGAAAACTATTTTGTGCCTAAAGTATTAGTATTTGTATCAATTATAGTTATTCTAGGAGGAGTAGTCCTTCTAGAAGGAAGTTTAAGCATCTGTATGTGTTATATAACACAGCACAGAATGATAACATTTGTGTCTTTCCTTTGGCTGGGAATGTTCTGAGAAATCCATAGTAAGAATGAGAAGTTATATGTGTATTTATTCAATAGATTAAGCCAATTGATTAAAGAATATTACCTGAAAAACAGAAGATCCATATTTTATCTGATCCTCAAATCCAGTTCAGCATTTACCTGTTTTGTACTTAGGTATGAAATTACTTTTCTTTTCAGTTGATTACAATCAAGCAATGGTCTCTTAGAACTTCTCCACCTTATGCGTTTATTTATATAAAATGTTGTATACAATAGTTCCTCCACAAAAATGTCAAATATTTATTTCATTATTATTTCATTTGCACAAAGAACACTTACTGACCGCTTCAAATGATTGAAGGCTTTTGATATTTATAGTATAGAAACACATGGGTGAATTTAGAAACAGTTTTGGCCAAAAATGTTTGGAATTGTTTTAATGTCTAATAAGCATTTTTTTTGTTATGGTTTTATTTCTCTCAAAGAAAAGGCTTATGCAGAAATATGGAAGAAGCTTAACTTCATTTTAGTGCAATACAAAATAAAATATGCTTAGTCTCTAAAGTTATCAGTGGTGCAAGGTACGCTGTGATAACTGCTTCATTTGAGCTTTCTTTCCTACGTTTCTTGGGTCAGAACAAAATATGTTCCCAAGTTATGGACTTTTGTATAATTTTAAACATAAACCTCCCTCCAAAAAGGAAAATTCCACTTAAATTCTGTCAAGAAAATGTTAAGTTTGGATAGTAGTAAACTCAAATCAGAATGAAAATTGGTGTTTCTGAAGGTCTGGAAAAACACCTGGCAGGTATAGTCTATTATGGCTCCACCTGAAGAGAGCATGGACCAGAGGATTCCCTTGCTATAGCTATATTGCACTATGCAACAATAGCTCTAGCTTAAAATGATCTCTGTACGGTGCTACCCTACACATCTGTAACAGGGAAAGGAGAAACTCCTGAGCCACGGCAGGTGTTAAGCAATCTGTTGGTAAGTGCCTACTTGCACAGCCCAAGATCAGGGAATTTGTGAGTGAGTCCTTCAAACATGTTTGCAAAATAAACTCCATTTGCCTGAAAAATTGTCACCTGCAGAAAAACTGCAGAATTCTTACATGCCCAAATTTTATCATTGGAAAATATTATCTGGCGTGATTATTTTTCGGGGGGAAAGAAATACTAACATTTTCAACATGAATTTATATCTACAGCAGCAATCCTGAAAAGCAGGAGTGGACAAACTGGTGGAAAAAAATCTTGTGGTGTGCAAGTTGGGTTTCAGACTTTTTATGTACAAGTTACAAACTAATTTTAAAAGTTGGCCAGTTACTGGAAGTTGGTGCACTCACCAAAATTTTTCAGAAAACCTGTGTTGCGCATTTTAAGACGTGGCAATTTGACTACTTACATGGATCCCCTCTAAATGGAACTCCACAAAGGGAGTTCACTGGAAACCATTAGTGTGCCTTCCCCTTTCTACTTCTAAGGAGCTTTTACCTTCCTGGAAGTGATTTGTGCACTCGTAGTTTTCGCAGCAATACATCAGGAATGCTGGGCATGACATCAGAGCTAGTCTTTGTCTCTTCCTCTTCAGTGGGGGAGGGGAGAGGTGAAGGGCCTAAAGACATTATCAGATAAGAAACTGTTACGCTATTTGAAAAGTCATGCATTAACTATTAATAGTCAGCATCTCAGAGCCAAATAGGCCCTTTTACCCTAGCTGTGTCCTTTTTAAAGTCAGTGAGGATTTCATACCACTTCTACTGGCAGCAAAAGTGAACAACAAGAAAAGGTGCATCCCTTCATGCAGAATGTTACTTCCTTTACTGCATATGGTAATACATCATTCATCTCTCTGTTAAAGTACCTGTGCCTTCCTTTCGAGCAGTAGCAACAAAAGTAATCAGTACAATTGTCATCCTTTCTTTAGAAAGTAGTAAGCGCTCTGACAGCCCCTAATGCACTGAAAATTATAGTATTAGTATTTTTCCTAGAATTCAAACTGAACCCAAATTAATTACTAGGACATCTAACCTAACATTTTGCATTTGTGCTTTACCAGTACAGTTACATCATTTCTGGAATATTTTAGCTTAGATTTTGTAATAGAGTACTCTATAACTGTAATAGAGTTATTTTCTAAGGCTTTAAATGCCACCTGCCAAGAAGAAGGGTAGTATAATGTACTATACTACAGATTATGTGCACCGTTTATGGTGATGAATCTACAACAGGTACTTGTTTGCACTGCATGTTCATTGAAACAGGACACAAAGGTTACAATTGCGCTCTCTACTTTTGCCACTTTCATAAGGACCAAGATACGGATTAAACTTTTTATTTTTAAATTAATGTTACTTAACTTTTTCATTTTCATTTTATTTGATTTCATACATAATAATTCCCTTATCTCCTTCTGTCTTGCAATAATTTAACGAAAGACTTTCCTATAGGAAAGCCACATTCTCCAGCCTGAATCTCAGACTTTGTGAGATATCTTTGTACAATTCTCCTGTTCATTTGGCATAGTGGAAATATTCTTAAACTTGCAAAACAAATAGCGTGAAAAAGCTCAAATTTTGCAAATGTGGAAAGCATTAATATGAAAGCCAGAAGAGAATGGGAGACTCTTTCCAGCTACATTTTAGTTCTATGCGTTTCCTTTATATTTAAAATTTCCAGTATTTACTTAAAAGCAGTCCTGTGTGTCCCCATACAAAGCCAGTCTGACATCACAATGTCTCTAGATCTAATATATCCCACTTATGTAAACTTCTGTATATGCAAAGTTGTGTTTACTAAGATGATCACAATAACTTGGCATTGATAGCAAAACATAATGGAGCCAGTATATTTGATTCATAACAGTAATAACGAAGTAGCTGGCTATTTCCTATTGTTTAAGCAAAATTACTACTCCAGTTAAAAAGCACAAGGTGGCTTTTATGACAATGTAAGGAAGTAAGTCTCCCTAACAAATGAACTAAGGATTTGACCCCTCACTTGTTTTTCCCACTGAGGACAAGGAGTTGACCCTTAGTGTTCTGGCTATCATTTAGATAAGTTAGTAGGCTTTAAAAAGCTCGTGATGCTCATGAGATCTTGGTTGAAAAGCTGGATAAAATAATGCTTAGCTTTTCTTAATGTTTTCCTCAAAAGTTTCAAATCTGCCAAAATTATGTAATGGGCTGGTAAAATGGCAACTATTTTACACTTTCAAACAGAGCCTGCTAAATAATTTCTGGGAAATGATGCATTAGCAGAGTGACCGGAATAATAGCACCATATCTAAGAATCCAAGATATAATCACTAAATACAGAAAGAGGATAAGAAGTCTTTTCTAATCTTGTTTCATTCAGACTCAGTTTGTTTCAGAGATAACATGAAATGTAATCTTGGCCATCTCCCTGTGTAACAGAAAATTTGAAGCATTATGAAACAGTCCCAAAGCAAATCTATGAATTAGCAAAAGGAAGAGTATTACGAAAAATGGAAATTGTCTTTGGATCGAATCTTGGACAGTCAGTTTCAGCTCCTTTCATATTAACCTAACCACATCCTATTTCAGTTAATGTGGCCTTAAAAACACTCTGAACAAGTTCTGACTTAACTACTTCCAAACAAATATACAATTTTGGTTTAAATATTTTCAATTGATCACTCAGCACTACTGATATTTAGTCCTTCCAGTTGTTGAATTATCCTAAGGACAATTGTCCTCAGGACAATCCTTGGTCTTTATTTCTACTCTGATTCTTTTTAGATGGAGCCTACAGGCATCAAATCTTTTTCTTGTGTTAGATTGGAAAAAACATTTGGCGCTAGATTTCTGTTTTCTCATTTGTGCAGAGTTTTAAGCCTTTTCATTATTAAAAAAATCATACAAATTGAGCTAACACCCACACAATCATTGTAAGGCATATTTTTCCAATCCTTCAATCACATGTCTTTTCTCTGGCCTTACTCTTACTCATCCACGTTGACACAGAGCTGTGGACCAGAAATGAACATGCCATTCCAGTATTTGCCATGCATATACTTAAATAAAAAAGCAGGAATAAAGCATTATGCCTCTTATTTACACTTTCAAGGATCAAATTCACCCTTATGGCCACAATATCTTGCAGCAGTCACATCTATTCAATCCATCACTGCTGAAACTTTTTTTCAGAAAGTCACTGAAACTTGAGACAGTCCTCCACCAATTAAGTACAAGCTAGACTCTGTTCCAGGTATGCATCTTTTAATTTGGTTGTAATAACACCTACAGCACCTTCTTGGCTCAGATCATCAAGAAATTCAGGTACTCCAATTATTGGTCTCTCATTCATTATTTACTACCCTCCTCAACGACTGCTTCATTACAACTACTATTGCAATTGAAGAATGGCTTTTTTTTTCCTCTCCATGTCAGTCAATTATAAAAATCAGTTTATAACAAACAAACATTCCTTCCAGCTTTTATGATACTGCACCTTTTTCCTGTTCAGCTGCTTCACTAAGTTCAGGAAGTTTAAGTCCGACTAAATTTTGATTTCTCATCAAAATATGTTCCTGTTAAGAAAAACAGTAACGTTTCTAAGTAACTTTACTAGAAATCTCAATTTAAATATCCCTGCCATGTGAACAGTAAATATAACTTCAGTCAATAAACATAACAGAGATATTTCTATTAAATTATAGTCAGATGCTATATTGCATGGGTACATGTACATTCACACACATACTCTTAAATATTACATATTTCAAATTTCATATATGCATTATTTAGAAAAATTCCTGGTCAGGCAAACAGAGATTTATAAGATGTGCCCCTTACTCAAGTAGAAAAACTGAGTTCTGGTAAATTAGAGTTTTAGTAAATAAGAGTGAAAAAAGCAATTTTGGATATAGCCATAGTAACAAGCAAATATCCCAGAAAGGAGAGAAAATTCATAAAATCAGATACATGAGACTTTATCACTTTGATTTATTCAGTAGGATTTATTCACATGGAAGTTTGGTATGCTACAGCTGCAAGTTAATACTTCGCTGTTACTGTACTCTGCCTTATTCCTTACAGGTAGGCAAGAATGTATTCTCAAGGATTAAACCTTGTTACCTTATCTCTCTATCATCTCATTTTCTACTTTCATATTCCCAAATATGTTTAAAATTCACATACACTTCCTTTTGTTCATAAGTAGAGAACTCTTACTGGAGACAGAGTTCAAATCTCATCTGAATGGAATTATATATCATGTTGTATTAATTTTCTGACTCTCTTTGTGCTTAACAACTTCTAGGACTTTCAAAATTATGTGGCTCAAGTGTCTCTATAATCAAAACTTCCAGTACATATATGCTAAGAATATGTGTCTTATATAAACAGGAGAAGATTAATAACTAAGCTGCCATTCTCAAGCAATACAATGGGAATGAAATAACTTAAATGCAGAATTTGAGGTCCTCACCTGTCAGCCCTGTGTTCATCTTAAAATATTAACTACTGGACGTCAAAGAAAATACTTATATTAGGCTGTTAAGGAAAGTAACTACTACTTTTTTCCTTTTCTTTCAAAGGTTGTTTTTGCTATACACACATGGTAGTTACTTTACGATGGGGGTTTATCATTTCATGACATTTTTACTATTTTCAATACACTGGTTAATTCTTAGGGTTTAATTCTGATTTTTACCAATCATTTAGACAATTATTTCACAACAGATTAGTTTATAGATTTTGTAGTTCAAGTCTGTCCTTCAAGAAGCTGATACATCTGCACCATGTTAGAATTAGGAACTGTAAGTCTGGCCCTTCCTCTCAGAGACCCCCAGTTTTAAAACTCTGGATGCTTCAAGACATTTTTTGAGAATGTTCAATAAGTAAAAAATCATACTAAAACAATTTCTTGTCTCCTGACATCTTGCAAATGTAATCTTATTGCAAAGGCTTGTATTCTTGAATGACAGGACTACTGCCCTTAGAAGGAAGAATACAATACCAACGAATACAGGACTCAAAAACACTCAGCAGAACAAAGTAAAAGTGATTTTTAGATCCAAAGAAAGTTCACATATAGTACATGGCAGACAGAGGCCTGTAAGCCCTCGAACAAGAGTACAGTAACCATCTTCAAACTTTGGTTAAAGATTTCCGTTTATATGCAGGTCTCAGCACACTCATACAGAAATCAGCCAATTAGTCAACATATTGTGAGAGCCTGTGGATCTGAGGACAATTCCGAAGGAGCAGAAAAAGCATAGCACAGGGAAGCAAAGGATGTAAAAGTGTAAGTGACCCTTTTAAAGAGAATGTTGTTACATCCTGAGGAAGGAAAGATTCTTCAGATCTAAAATTCTCTTTAGAAATCAAAATAGATCATTTTAGTCCCAAGTACGTTTTACAAATTACATGATTGTCAATCAACTGCTTCCTGTTTATAGGTCATGTAAACGATGCAAAAACGAGATATATTTTATTTTAGACCACCTTTCTGTCACAATGAAAGCAAGTAGTACCTTCTTGACACCAGTATTACAATTTTTTTCTGGGGGCCAAAACCTGCATGTGCAAGACCATACACACATGCATATGTACGTATTGGAGAGACTACAATGCAGTTAATGCATATTTGAAGAGAACTAAGAAATAGAGTAATTCCATGGAATTTAGTTACCGGTTACAATTTACTAAAGTTGCAAAGGAAAAACATGATACAATTCAGTATTGATTTTGCTGAAACTGTTTCCCATTATATTACCATATGTTTCTTTCAATGATAAAAATAACGCTAAGCAAGTTGAAATTTTAATATGATATGAAAATAACTTTAAAACACGATACAACTGATGAGCAGGACTCACCTCTCTGAGCTTTGTCAATTTCTGCATTCGAACTGGTTGAACTTGGATTTGAAGGTCTTTGAATGCTTTTAATTGATTGTTGGATTTATTACCAACAACAAAGCTTTTATCTTCCTCAGATGGTAATTTTAAAGGTGTTTTATCTTTCTGTCCAGGCTCCAAGCTATCCCATGATACAGCCCGTAAGAGAGGAGGACGCAGTCCACACAGTTTAAATTCTGGTTTACATGAAACTTTATGGTCCCTCATTTCTGGAAGAGGAATTTTTAGCTTTGAGTCTATATTCCCTATTCCTGGCCCTGGTAGATAGGTTCTTAGAGGAACATCATTTTCTTTTGCTTTCTTGAGGAATGATTTTCCAAGTTCATTTTCACAAACATTCATGCAAGTGTTAAGAGACATTCTGCCACCATCACCACCTGAAGGAGGGCATTTAGGTAAAGTATCCATATGTTTACGTGGATCAAAGTTTTCTTTTTGCTCTGAGAGGTTCTCTTTGGAGTTTTCAAAACCAGCAGAACGAGGAACCAATCTTCCCTGAGAAATCTTTCTTTGATCATTCTGCCTTCGATCAATTAATCCTTTTGCAGCATTCTGAAAGTAGAGAGACAAACATAAAACGGAGAAACAAGTGCAGATTTCTCTTTTTTCCTGCCCAAGGACAGATTTTCACTGTAGAAAGCCACTTCCTTTTCCGTGACATTTGCTTTTAAACATGTGCTGTTGATGAGAGAAAGAATTTTTAAAAGGCACTTGAAAGAACACTGAATTAGGAATCTCTTATCTGAATTTTTGAGATAACCTACTCCCACTCAACAGTCCTTTATAGCAATTCTCATATAGTCATGTTTCTCATCATCTTAATGTAAGGTTTGTCTGAGTACACACCTTTAGCTCTGTATCTTACAGCACTGTTACTTTCCTTTGATTGTTTTCCATTAGTCCCTCACTTTCCAAGGGAAAAAACCCCTGGGCTTATACACTAAGTTAAAGCACATATTGTAATTTCTCTATTCTTACTTTGTGTGCAGTACCATAGACTATAATTTGGCTGCAATCTCTACAGGAGAGCTGGCAAAAGAATATTTGCCTATACCTTGCCTACTTTCGTACAGAATCTGTATTTTGTCTAAGGGCACCTGTCTCAGCAACTTAAGGCAACCAACATACAATCTAACTGTGGGATCTGCCTTAGATATGTTGCTACTCCTTTCCTTCACAGTTACTGCTCCAAAATTCTGCTGCCATATGGGTTTTTATAAGCATTGCTTAATCCACCCACAGCAAAATCTCTTTAAAGGGCCATCAGATATTACCAATAGTCATGTGGAGCAGTAACATCTCATCAGTGGTGCAGAACACAAGGTACAGTAACCTCTTCCACTGAACCAAAGGAGTCTGGAAGAGGATGTTCGTCTAAAATATCAGCATGCATCAAACTGACTATAGCAGATATTTTTACTTTACTTATAAAGGTATTTAATACATTGATTTTAATTGAGCTACAGCAGGGTGCAGGATAGGATGTAAAGGCTAGCTGTAAGCCCCTTGTCCTCCATTACATTTGCACGTGCTTCACAATTTCTTAATGAAGTATCATTTTTCAATTCACTCAGTGAACAGTCTTTTAGCCTTTTTAGTCACATAAATAAGTAATCTGTGTGCTAAAACAAATGGGCAGATTTTGTTCAACATTTAATGTGAAACACTTACCTCTGCAGTTTGCCTGTCATCCTCTTTCACAGTTCTGTTATTCTAGCAAAAAAGGAAAAAAAAAAGTTCCCTTATAAGGTTATCTTTCACATCTATGCTGCAAATGTTAGATATCGATATTAATGAATGAACTTTGAATCTCTTAATTTTTACACTGCTTGTCACATTTATCTATGAAGTAATTTTATGGATTAGTTTTTTCCATAGGTTAGGATTATATTGGATCTTTTCCATCTTCTACACTTAACAGATCTCTAAGATCCTTCAGTGCTTGTTACCTCATGCATTTTTGTCTTCAGAGTAAACATTTATTAGTCCCTCACTCTGCAGAAAAACATATCTCAATAATCCAATCTTGGTACATAAAATAGTATTCGACCATCCCATTTTCCTCAGGGACTAACAGGACAGCATAGTGTAATATAGTACTGTAATAACCAGGTTACCGTGCAGACTCATCAGCTCTTTCTTACCTGCCCTGGAGATACTGACTCAACACTAGTGGTTGTGCATGCATCAGACCCTAGAAAGACACACACAGGATTAGGGCATATCCCAATGTTTTGCTCAAAATTTTTACTACTACAGCTTTCATAAATGCATACATGCACAGTTCCACCTAATAAAATAAGGACAAAATTTAAATGTGGAAAATAGTATTTAAAAGGGGAAAAAATTAGCTAAAATATAGTGAGTGAAAGATCATTAAAGCTTCTTAAAAATCTATTACTGAAAATTATAAAAAAAATAGAACATGCAACCTACCAGCTCCACAAGAATAAAAATGTTTAAAAAAAAGTTTTGTCATATTCAAGAGGAGATGTTTGAATCTACAGATTTTGACTTCTCCTCAAGAAAATATTAAAAAATACATTTTTGGTGAGCTTTTGTTAGTTAAAGTTTGAGCCTGCATAGATCATTTTACCTGATGGAACTGGAAGAGTGAGAGAGTTGCTCCGAGATGCTACTGGTGACACTTTAGGACTAAGTGTAGGGGAAACTGCTTCATTAAAACAAAGACAAAAACAAACAAAAAAAGCTTATTTTACTTTCTAGGCTTGCAGCTTCTGAATTTTTAAAATTCAGATAAGACTAAAACATGAATCTTGTAGTCATCAGCCACGTGTTTGTCCAGAACCTGACAAGTCATTTTAATTGCAAAGCTGTACTCCGCAATTAGGAACTTAGAGCAGGTTTTATCTCATGTATCTGCCATAAACTACTAAAATTCCATTAATACACAGCATCCTTATTCTCCTCAGTTTTCTGATACTGTAAGCACTGCAGAGAAGTAGACACAAGAGAAGGATTCACAAGTTTAGGGAAAAAAAGAAGGAAAATTTGATTTCAAAAACTAAAGGCTTTTTTCCCCGCAGAAAGTGTCAAGCCAATTTTAAGATAGAACTTTGCTTTGAATTGCCATTTCAAAGCTAAATGAAAGTCCTACTTCATAATAAAACTGCATTTTGTCCTAGTTTTCAAACACTTCACGAGGGGAAAAAGTTAATTTCAACTGACATTCTAGAACAAAGCATTTTATTCTGCTGCTCTTAAAGGAAGATCTGGTCCACTTAGCTTAATATATGACTATGTTCAGAATAAAAGTCCATGCAATTTTGTCTGGGGTGAATGTTTTTCCAGTAGTATGAATCTTGCCGGTGGAATTTCATTCTATGTACAATAGGAACTTTAGGAAGAAAATCTTCACAAACAGAAATTTGTGATCATTTTTTTGATTCCAATAGAAATACTTCATGCTTTCCTGCTACAGGGTTTGCAGTGTGTCATACAGGCACTCGCACCATCTTCCACTGCTACACTTGAATAGAGAGACTGGTCATTTCTGTTTTATATGGAATTATGAGGAAAGGCAGAGGGATTCTGACCTTCAAACTAACAAAGTGCAAATATACAGTAGCAATATATGCATTACAGTAGACACTCGTTTGTGCCTTTGACGATCTTTGAAGGAGAATATAAAATCTTCTTTTCAGAATCCGCACCTACCTGTGGGTGACTCCGGAAGGCTGCTTCTTGACTTTCTGCCTCTGCGCATTAGAAACCTCTCACTCACTTTCTTTGCTTCTTCAAGTAATTCAAGGTTCTTCTTTTTGTCTTCCTCTGATATTTTCACATCTGGTAGCTGATCATTTACCAGATCAATCACATGACCGCTGGTGTCTGGGTAGAAAACATCAGAATTAGAGCTGTGCCTCGTATTTCCAGATATGCTGTGGCATTTCAGAGTAACAAGTGCAAAATATATCTATAAATTTAGCTTTGAGCTTGCATTTAACAAATAGTGTCTGCTCATTTCTAATGTTGTTGTATTCTCAAGATCAGAGCAAGTCCTCAAAAACACAGACAACCCACTAAGATTAAGTCGCTACAATCAAAGACGCTCTGATATGTGAAACTGACTTTTCCAGCTATGTCTCCAATACAGTTTTTCTAATTTATCATTAAAAGTGGCATTAGATCCATCTCAACTAGCAGTCATGGCATTTCTGTCATAGACTGTTTTTCCATGAGTTTTGTATGTCCATTTTTTTCAAGGCTAAGGTCCCACAAACTCACTTTGCAAAGATTTATGCACGCTAATTTTAACATAGAGGTGATTCCATCAAATAATCTATAAAATAAAGTGCAGAGTTTGGAAATATAAACTTTTTGTTCTATGCAGATAGAAGAGCTTTTCCCACAAATGCAGAAAAAACAGTAAAGCTGCATCTGGCAAAGCTGCAGGTAGAAAAAGTTGAATAGCTAAAGCCTGAGAATTATAAAGCTGTTTCAAAAAGCAAATCAATCTCTACCATGTGGTGGAGCTCTGAGAATTTGTCAAAGGAATTGCAAATCCCATGAGAATATCCAATGGTTAAAGAAGGCATTGTTAGAGACTGCTTTTCCTCATACCCACTTCTGTTGATATGTTAGATTTGTGACCCAGGAGAATGCATGGACCACAAACTGAAACCCACTGCCTTACACTTAGACCTTTAAATAAATGCGTTGTTTTCTAAGCAATTTTTAGTTAGCTGCAGTAAGAACCCATTAATCCCTGGCTTCTAAATTGGTCAAAACCACTAAACTTTGAGAATTAATTTTTACACTTCTCCAGGTTATGATTAAGCCAAGAATGTAGCCTGTTGTCAGAAAGGCCCTTTCTATGTGCGTTGGTATGAATGGCTTCTATAAGCACCTAGACTTGTATGGAGAAACAGTTACCTGAAAACAACAGGCCAGAGGAAGGAAACATCCATGCTGACAAGGTAGTGTGTGCAAGGTGTTCATGGGTTGATAAACTCTGCAGACTAGTAAACTTGTTGGATCTGCAAGAACTGATAAACAGATCACCAAGAGTCTGCTCAATCTGTACAAGGCCACCAGCACACACTATCATCAACAACAGCCTGCAGGTCAGACATTGATTCTCAGGTAACTATGAGAAAATTTGTGACTGTGTGAGTTAACTAACTGCATGAGTGAATAAGTAACTGTGTTGTCTGAAGAGTTATCTAGTATTAATAACAACTTGATCGTATTAACAACAGCTTAGTGAATGTGTTCTAAGAAATACCAGTTGTGACTGTCTCTCTCCCCAGCCTGATGCCTCTGTTACGGAAGATGTAATTTATAACACCGTTTGGCAATAGGAACAACTTACTAAAGAACAGCTTAGGTGAGGGTAATCAGGTAATCCGAGAAAAATATTTTTAAATTCAAAAAGAGCCATTACAGAACAATCAGTCTTCAGACAAGCTAAGGACATAAGTAAGCAGTAAAACCTCAAGGGTTTTGGTTTGTGGGTGTGGGGCTGTGTGTTTGGGTTTCTCTGTAGTGAGATTTTTTTTGGGAGGTGGGGCAGGGAGGGGTTGTTTTGTTTTTCATTCCATACATTTAGTTCAATTTCAAGGCTGTCAGCATGCCCATAGATTGGACATTCTTAAAGCAATCTATTTTTAATGAAATACCTGTTCTGATTTACAATAAGGTTTGTGTGTTGAAAGTTGGAGAGAAGGACCTCGTATGGCACATTCCTTGGGCCAGCAAAAGAAGAGTTGCAAGGCACAGTAACGTCTATCTTCCTTAACCAGGTAAATTTTCCTCACTATACACAACGTCTTTGCCTTTTTGTATTTGCCTTGCCTTCTGCCTCCTCACTGCTTCCATTTCCTTTCCCCTTTGCTGCCATTTCCTCTTTCTCCTTTTTTCCTCTGAATTCCCTTTAGTTTCTCCTGCAGTGTCTCATCTCAGCACCTGCTTACAAATGACAAATGTTCAAAGAATCACTTGTTAACTATTTCAGGTCTACAAGTTCATGATTTTATACACACCCATGAAATTACATTTCTTCCAGGGAAGTTAGACCTCCAACAGGAGACTTTTTGTAACAGATTTAATTAGAAAATACCTAGCTTAGAAAAATCAACATCTTAGGTCATCTAGTCCAATCTGTTCAAAGCAGAATGAGTGGTGAAATCAGACCAGATTGCTGATCTTTCAAGACAATCTGCTCTTGGAAAACCTTGAAGGATGGAGATGCAAAACCTCTCTGGGCACATTGTTCTAGTGCTTGGCTCTACAGTGAGTGAACGGTTCTTTATATCCACTTAGAGCTTCATTTGTTTCAAATTACATCCTTTGCCTCTTGTCCTCCTGCCATGGGCCTGGATCTGTTTTCTTTATAATCTTCTCATTGGTATTGAAACATTGCATTCGGTTTCCCCTAAAGCCATCTCTTTTCCAGGCTAAATTAGGCCAGCTCCTTGAGCCTTCCCTCACAGGGCAAGTGTTTCAGACTCTGGACCATCTTTCTGGCCCTCCATTGGGCTCACTCCCATTTAACAACACTCTTCTTTTATTGGAGGTCCCAAAACCAGATGTGGTTTTCTAGATGCAGTCTAATGAGTGCTAAGCAAAAGGGAATGAACACTTTCCTTGATCTACTGGCTAAGTGTCTATTAGTACAGTCCATGACGCTGTTAGCCCTCTGCTGCAAGGGTGTGCTGCTGGTTCATGTTCAACATGCTGCCTACCAAGGCCTCTGGGCCTTTTTCAGCAGATCAGCTTTCCAGACATCCAATCCCCAGCCTGCACCTACTGCAAGGGGTTATTACTTCCCAGACATAGGACTCTGAATTTCTCTTTACTGAATTTCACGAGGTTCCTACTGGCTCATTCCTCCAGCCTGTCTAGGTCTCTTTGAATTACAGCATGGCCCTCAAGTATATATTAATTAATCTCTCTCAATTTGATTTCATCTGCTAATTTGATGAGAGTGCACTCCATCCTCCTCCAGGTCATCGATAAAGATCCAAAGCAAAACTTATTTTCTTGAGTGTGTTCCAAGACACAGCCAAAGGCTGTGAACCTCTCCTTTCACTAACGTCCAACCAACCAGTCACTCCCCTCAGAGCCGAAGTATCCAACCAGTATTTCACCTGTCCAGTTGTCCACCCATCCAGATCATAAAGTCTTAATTTGGATTGTAGATTTGGGGGAGGGTGTGAGAGAGAGCAGCTCTTGCTGCTGCATCTCTGAATATGGAGGGATAATCATTCTTCTGTGTAAGTCTGATCTCTGATAAGTATAGTTCCATAAGTTTATTTAGTTTCCACAAGTTTAGTTACCTCTAAAATCAACTGCTGGCAAGCAGGACAGATTTTAAATTTTCCAAGTCCCCTTAAGTGGATCTGAGCCGATTTACATGGATCTTATCTCCATCTTAGTTTTATAGGACATATAAAGGAAGTTTCTCTTTGAATGCAAGCAGCCAAAACCCACATTTTACTCAAGAATTTAAAGGACTAATCACAAAACTGGAGCAAATACACAAGAAGTTACAATTCTTCGAAGTCTCCAAACAATCTTTCAGTGGGCTGCCTCTCAACTACGTTTTTATAGGTGTACTGACACAACCGAGTACCCAGTTATGAAAGTATCAGAATCACAAACTAGAAAGGATTAATTCTGACTTTTATGGATATGAATAGTTAACATCTTCTCTCTGCATGGCTGAGAAGCTAACTCTAGTGCAATAGTGAAAATACTACGTACATAAAATATTTTATTATTTTATTAAGAAAAAGGCCATGTTAAGGATGTTCTGCTAAATTTAAAAATCTCTAGTTCTCTATTTGTGTGAAAATAACCCAGGATCCCACAGGTACAAAATTATTTTTGTATTTTTGTAGTGTCACAAATATAAAATTAATTCCAGCAAAATAACATTCATAAATCAAAAAAAGGAGAAATTAAATGTGTAATAATATATTAAATACTGCCAGAAAGGGTTCTGACCTCTCAGTTTTGACCAGTAGAAAGAAAAAAAAAAGGTATATACACCATTAATAGCAAAGAAAGTTAGGGTTACTTTCAGAAGTACAAATTATTTTTTTTCCCTCATGCTATACCTCCTATACAAGAGAAAGTAGAAACATGCCTATAATTTAGGGAAAGTAGTCTTAGCTGTAGCCATTTTCAACCCTAGAGATGCATGACCTGCTATCATCAGCAGATCAGTGCTTCTTATAAGAAATATTTGCTGAGACTGCCAGGAATCTCTTCGCTATTGGAAAACTCAGAAATGCCCCATGAAACCCCATGCTTATGTTCAATATATTGATCAAAAACAACTCCACACATCTGAGTTTCTTAATCAAAACATGTAAAAAGAACTTATTAACCAGAGTCCTTAACACAATGTCAATTAATAAAAGCAATCTGAGTTAATAAAACAGAATTTTATTCTGAATATTTTGAGTATCAGAAAGGTAGCAGGGCTCTGATTTTTGCTGGTGCTTTAGTAAAGACAAAAAAGATACATATGCATCTGTTTCAAGATGCCAAAGAACTAGGTTCCTTAGTTATAGCAGAAAGGATGCTTCCCTTTAAAAGCCTCTGGGAGTATTGGAATAGTCACCTGATAAGCTTGGTTTTAAGTCTGTCACAAAATCAGTGTGCCATGATCACACAAGTCCATGACTTTGCAGCATAAAGCAGTGATAATTGGCTCAAATTAAGTTAATGGCTTGGAGAAAGTAACGTCATTGTACAGACAAAAATTTTTAAAATTTATTCTACATTTCTGATTCCTCCCTCTGCCTCCTCCCCTCCCCTCCATTTTGACAGGAGGTCTCATATGCCTATTCCTTCATCCTTTACATGCAATAGCATAAACATTCTATCAACTCTGTACAAATACTACTTTGCAGGAAATACATAAATGGAGACAAGTAACAATCCAAATGCAAACATACCAAGACTAAGAACTGATGGGAGCTTTGCCACTGACTTAACAGGATAAGCATTTATCTCTGTAGTACTCACAAATCTGCATTCACACCATTAGTCCTCTTAAATAACAATTTACTCCACAGGCAACCCCCAGAAAACTAACAGAACCAATTATGTAGCAAGAGACCTATTAGAAAGTGAAGAAACTAAGAAAATTCCCTTGGATAGCTTGTTTTCATTTAAAGTTTAATCTGATACGATAGCCAAACTAAGTAACTTGAGACTCAAGGGTCTATTAAGCTCCTTGTTAAAAAAATTCCAGTTGTTCAAAAGTAATAAAACCAGTATTACTGAACAGTATTTTGCGTACAACAAGAATTTTAAGCATCTGTACCTCCAGCCTTCTAAAAATGTTAAGCCAGGATCTAACAAGTTTAAGAAACTAACAATATGCATATTTCCCTGGGTCTGTCTGCATGCAATCCACTTATGATCATAAACTCATGATCACAATTCAACATGCTAGCAGTATTCCCTGCGCAAGCATTACAGACTGTATGCACAGGAAAAAAGCTATAGTCAATACAGTCAGACTCTATATCACGTTTGCATATCATGTTTGCAGAGAAAACATCCTAGCTAAAATGAATAATCACTTCTTACCAACAGAAGTCAATGAACTTGTTGAATTTCTAGTGGCACGGTTAGAATGCCTCCTATGAGGACTACGAGGCCTAGAGAGAAAAATGAACAAACAAAAATTATGAGAGTATGCCACCAAAAAAAAAGGGTTTACTTCTCTATAAAAATACAACATTAAAAAGAAAGCATTTTTCTTTGATGAAAAAAATGAAAACAAAAAAGGTTTTATTTCAATTCCTCTCATCTCCAAACAACTAGAAAATGAAGGAAGATTGCAGAAAGGAGAATTACAGAAATTGCGCTCACAAAGGATTTCTGACATTTGCTGATAACCTCATACACTGTGAACTTTGATTTCTCAGAAAAACTACATTTCTTTAGTTTGTTATCATGAATTAAAACTCATGTAAATATGGTAAATTGAAAAAAAAAAACAGTTTTTGTAAATTGCTAGTGCTTCCTTAACTAAGTTTTATGACTGAAATGATTTCTTAGGCTGTCACATTGACACTCCCATATAGCAATATGGGAACTTTCTACATTGAAAACCAGGTGAAAGTCTCAAATGACTGGAGAAAATTAAATGCTGATCCAGCTAACACTGTTGCTTTTAAAGGCCTGCATTGTCATTTTGACTTCTAAATAATCTTGATGTTAGGAGAACTACACTTTAAAAATATAAGGAAATTATAGTACAGATTTATGATCAATACTTTCTGATTAGCTTTTTCCCATATTTTAAGTCTAATGGCAGGCCAATAAATTAAAAATCCCAGGTCAAGAAATATGCTTTATTAGAAGACTGAAAATAACCTTAATTGAACTCAAAATTGAATTGAAGTGTTCGACTTCAAACAAGATTATTATTTCCATTCAACAGCTTACTTTCCCATATACTTAACCTCAAGGTGGTATTCTTGCCCTGTCTACCTGAACGGGCCCAAACATCTGCTTCAAACCTCACTGTACTGTAGTATTCAAGCTAGACATTTAAGTTGTCCAACTCAGAAACATTATCTACTTGAATTCTCAGCTGATACGTATTTTGTTTCACAAGATCAGGAATGTGGTTCTATCCCATTTTCCACAAGCCACAGAAGTTTCTTTTGCAGCATCATCAAAACAGGAAGGAGGACTGAACAGATACAAAGGAGGAAGGGAACGAAGAGAGCTGGAAAAGAAGCCTACACTTGTCACATCTGTTTTTTAGATAGAAAAAAAAAAGTCCACTAACTCAATTTCCAGTGCTATCAACTCAGGACTTTAAAAGAACTGAGCATACCTTCATTGGCTGTAGAAGAAAATTTTAAAGATTGTGGCTAATAATATAATGATATTCTAGTATCTCAGAATATTATCTTATGAAACAAAGTTAGCCAGCAATGCCAGACTACGAACAATTTTTATAAGGAAAAAAACCAACATACAGTAACAGTAGCTTCACTAGCATCACCTTTAAGTTCTATAAAACAGTATGTGTTTTAAGTCAATACCAAGATACTATGCACAAGATTAGAAGGTTTATTCTGAAAGACCTATGTAATATGCTAAATCTGTCAAAAGAAGATATAAGTATAAAAAATACATAAAATACTTGCAAAAGCTATTAGTAAAAATTGCAAAGTATATTTATGATCATAAGCCTTCCTTGGAAATTTTCTGCCCTCACAAATAATCTGTATTATACAAACTGTCATACATTGCAAGTCCATCTTTTGCCAAAAACCTTCCTTCCTCTTTAAAACACACTTTAGTAATTTAAGGATCATGGAAACAGAAAGTTCTTAAAAACAACATAGTTTGTTGCTGCATTTTCCTTTCAATAGAAGAAAAATTACAACAGATTGCAAATATTATGGCTGCAGTATCTATTTTTCAGCATGATACGAAGAATATTGCAATAAGCTTTTAATATAGCTAGTTCTTTAATTCAAGAAAGAGACAGACAACACAGGCTTTGTACATAAGATGGACCCATTTGCAAGAGTCAACACTGGTGACTGAGCATACCTTGAGGAACTTGCATCTTTAGTATTTAAAAAAACAGTACTTTTTTAAAGTCTTAACAAGGATTAATTTCCTAACTCTACATCAGTCTACAAATTTCTTATTAGTTTAGTGGAAATGTTTATATGATTAAAGGCATCACTACTGGTGTACATACATAATTACCAGACCAGAATTAGGGATTTAGCTACTGAATTGAAAAATTTCCAACGGAGGGCTACTTCAGAAAACACAAAAATGCTCACTTGTACTTGCTTTGGTCTCAGTTGCTCATTGACTAGGTCTAAGTAAAGGTTAAAATTTGGACAGAAGGACAGTATCGCACATTGCCATGCACAGAACATGAGGAATCCAACTGTCAGTCATCCTTGCAGTAGGCATAGGATTGTAGCACATGCATGCACACCACTGTACATCTACAAAAGGTTTTAACCAAGCAATTTTCTCCTCACCAGGTCATATTTTATTTGCTAGCAAAAGGATGGACTTTAAAAGGTATAGCTTTTAGTCTAAGTTATGTAAAACTTTAATTTACATTTTTGTTTTAGTTTCAAATTATGCTATTATGGAAGATAAGAAAGTTCATGTAAATTTAAAGTATGCTGAGTCAGGCTGGCAGGCTGAGTATTATATGAAACTTTACTCTTTTGGTACCAGTTATGTTCCTGTCCCCAACCCGCTTCCCTGCATCCAAAAAATCATCATCAAAATGCAAAGACAATATGATCAAATTACAAATAGAGATACAATACAATACACATTTCAAGCAGTATTTTAGAAACCTAGCTCCTGGAATTGCTGTACAATTTATGCATAGATTGGTAATGTATTGCACAGTACCTGTTAACCAGGTTTTTATCAATTTCTACGTCTGGCGTAACAGCATTCTCTGGAAGAACAATAGAAGGCGTACTGCATGTTGTCCCTTCAACAGTAGTGTCCTGAATGGTTTGTGACAAATATAAAAAAATAGTTAAATAGAAATTCAAAACACTGAATATTGACACTCTGTGGAAAATAATGTGTATTGCTCAATTTAGAGAAAATGACTGAACTAAGAATTAGCTCTTATTTGGTAAAACAAATCTGAATTAGAGGCCTACACTTGAATTGCTAAAAAGAGATGATGGAGACCTGGAATATCTGTTTCCATTACAAATTTTTAATGCATGCAAGCTAAATTCAATAAGCATGGAACTAATGAGAAAGCTTTAAAATGGTAGACAAAGGGATTTTTTAAATAGCAAAGCATTCCTGTACTGAAGTATACGTACAACACTTAGTGAACTTATGAGCCAAATGCAAGAGTGAAAAGCAGGTATGTATAACAGGGCTAACTTAGGCACACAAAACCTCCAAACGGTACTAGACTGCAATAAAAGCTTGAATAAATGCAGTGTTAAGTGTATACATGTTATCCAAAACCGTAGAAAATAATTATAAGGTTATCTTTTTAGTGTTCTACTAAGTTTTCCCTCCCATTAATTGGAAAAAGATATTTTTTAAAAATATAACTGCAATATTTAAGAAGACAATATAATTTTTAAGTGACAAAAGAAACTGGCACTGAATATCAATGTATGTCTGCCTTCTTAAATATAATTTGTCCTGAGAACTTAACTCCACACCTTCTACCACAATGACACCAATCAGCTGAAGAGAAGGAATCTGTTTCCTGTGAGATATCCCACATGGAGATGCATCAAGGTGGAATGAAAAACTGGATTTCTCTCTAGTCAATAAAAAATTACTTGTACCCTGTGTACTACACTCAGATTCACAAAAACAAACAAAAAAAAAAAACCACAAAACAAAACAAAATCAACCCCTGTACTGTTGAAAGGCTACATAAGCAATCTGGTGGTTACGGTCAGTCAAGAGTTTGAAAAAAGTGATCCTCAAAATCATGCAGAGTGGGGGAAAGTGCAGGCACCTGTTAGAAGCTGCAATATTTATTTTAGAGTTCAATCATGAGATAAGTAGAACATAACATAGCAGTATGAGTATTTGTAGCTGGAGAGAAAGCTTCCCAAAAGTGGCAGGGGACTGTCATCAATCACTTTCTAAAATGTAAAGAATAATTTGTAAATTCTCAAATTGTAACTGCTTCTTGAAACTACATCTCAAAGTTTCATAAGAAATTTTTACTTCAGTTGGCATAGGATTATAGAATAGAATTAGACTAGACTGGAATATTCCAGCTGGAAGGGACCTACAACGATTATCTAGTCCAACTGCCTGACCACTTCACAGCTGACCAAAAGTTACAGCATGTTATTACGGGCATTATTCAAATGCCTCAAACACTGACAGGCTTGGGGCATTGACCACCTCTCTAGGAAGTGATGCTTCTGAATATTCTGAAAGAGCATGTTTGCTATCCATGGCACAAAGCCAATCACATTCAACTGTTATAAACTTCATTTTGCTTTTACTGAAATGGCATTTGCTGCCAATTTTCTTTGCTCCTTTTAAGAATGTTTACCTACTAGAGGTTGACACAAGTGCCATGAATTCAGAATAGCATTTACTCTAGTAATATTCACTAAATAGGCAGGTGAAAAGAAGCTGTTATAAAAGCACTAATTTAGGCATTTACAGAATGAAGCACACAACAGCTCACAGTTTAACAAGTCCACATTTTAGAATAGAGAAATGAAACCTTTTCAATTATTTGAAACAAAGGCCATCAATGAATAATTGTTTCAGTGGTCTACTGCCACTTGAAGAACTAAGCTCAGTCATGAGGTTTGTTACAATAAACAAGCAGTCAAGAGTATAAATTGAAATGGAAGCTAACAGTTACATGACTGCTAGTATCTACCAGATACAAGAGAACTCCTTTCAACGTCTCTCCCAGTGCTGCATTTTTCCTTGTTGAAACACTGTTTTCTGATCAATTCACAGAACTCTAGAGGCATTTTGAAAATTGTATAATATTAAAGTATATAGCATAACCTCCTCTCAAATGTAATAAAATATGCTGTTATTTGGACAACTGATTTATAATTCTTGATTCTGTTGTAAATAGCTTTTTATTTTTACTACAATAAATAGATTCCTTGCAGCTCCACACTTCTATACTCATAATTCCCATATGACGTGCCTTGGCAAGTTTACATTGTCAATCACAGGACAGCAGGATGGGAAACATACCAAGAAAATAATAAGATTTAAGTTTAAGAAAAATATCCTTGTAATATTGGAAATGTTAGAATGTAAAAGCATGATATACTATGTGATTCAAGCGCAACTTGTGCAAGTTCATTCAAGTGCACACAATTGACACTGTATGATTCTAGTTCAAAAGCAATTTTAGTTGTATTCTTGAAAATGTTGCCAAGTGACAATGTATTTTGATTAACAGTCAATGACAAAAATTTAGGTGACTGCCCTGCTTGTAGGACAAAGCAGCTGAGTACATATGCACATTTTTTATACTAATCTCATGATTGCCAAAGAGTAAGAGCTTTTGAATTATGTAGCATCAGCCTTAAAGTCATTCAAGTACATTTTAGAACTCTAAACACAGCTCATTAAAAAGAAAAAAAAAAAAAAAAAAAAGAAAAAGGCTGTAGCCAAGGCTAGGTCAGGTCAGGTAGAATACATTCATCTTGGTCAGCACCTATAGCAGTTCAGCTTCTGCACAGGTGAAAACTCATGCCTCCTATTGTCCAAACATATTGTATATTTGTATAGGAGAGGGTCAAGAAGAGCTACAGCATGAAGCTCTTTGCAGGGCCAGCCGGCTTGAATCAAAAGAAATCTTTATACCCTGAAGAGTACTCAGGCTGCTATATGCAGATCTTGGAAGAGAAGCTTTAACAGGAAGCTTAAGCTGTCTCACAGTTGTACATCTGCACAAAGATGATATAGAAGTTTTCCATCACCCTCACGTTGCCTGCCTGTAATGGCCTTCTCTGTGTCAGCTTCCAGACAAGTCTGCTCTTCAGCTATTCCCAACAGCTGCCTCATCTCCTAGTATCAGCGACTGCCCGCTATCAGGTCTTTGTTTCCTTTTTGTCCAAAGCCCTTGTCCCACAAAAACAGGGTAAAACTGACTCCAGCTCTATGGCTCAAGTGGGAACTGACTCATACGCTCTACAAGGATGATCATGTGCCATTGCAGGGAGGATTGTTCAGGGCTGAGAGGGTGGCACATGCAGTTTGGTCCACAACAGAAGAGCTAAGAGGCTCAGGGATACTCAGGGTGGACAGAATCTGCAGACATTCTGACCATTAAGCTCTACCAAGCCCTCACTAAGCATACAGAAAATACCTTTTTAGAAGCTTTATTATCCAGCCAAATTTGGATGGATTTGAACAGTAATTGGAGAAAAAAAAAATAAAAAAAATCTGTGCTAAAAGAGCTACCCTGCCAGGACAGTCAGATGATAAAGCTTTACTGTATACCACCTGAATTCTTTAAAGCACTGGGGAAAAAAAAAAAAAAATCCTCTGCCACCTGGCAGTATTCTTATAAATTAATTAAAAGTCTGGACTGAATTTTAGAACAAATTTGGCCTGAAACAGACACTTACTTGAAAGGCCTCAGAAAGTTATGCATCTCAGAGAGCAGTCTTTTAAGTGAGATGGAGGTTTAAACAAGCTTAATTTTAGATATCTAAGTGAAGTGCTAATCTTAGAGTTTAGCAAGTAACATAATGAAATTCAATCATAACTGCATCTAGTTGAAACAGACAGGAGAACAAAGTAAACATGAGACAAACAGATAATATGCAGTGATTTGATAAAAGTATAATACAAATTTAAATAGGAATAATTAAAAAAAAAGAAATGCAGAAGCTTGAATGACGGAAAAATCAGTGTATGAGAAATATTATGAACATGAGAGACTTTTCCTCAGCAGTCAGAAGAGCTAGTAAAATAGAGTTCAAGATATAAAGAGAGGAGAAAGCTGGAAAAAGAAATAGGGATTTTTGATTTAAAAAGAGGGAAAGATGGCAGCTCATAACCAACCCTGAAAGTACAGGCAGGTTTATAGGCCACTATAAATCTTAACATAACCAGTAAGGATCTAATTTTCTTTGCTGCAGGTATGCATTACACATATAGAAACTACATTTTTAATACTAAAAACCTGAAATCAGTTTTTAACAGTATCAGTGAAAGCATAATATACTATTATTCCATGTGAAATAAAACCAATTAAACAAAAATATGGAAATTACTAAAAATGACATCTGACTATGAAGTTCTATGATTTATGGTAGGAAAAATGGTTCTGTAGAAGACAATTCTGAAATGTTCAATACTTACTGTAACAAGACAGCACACAAACTAAGAGTTCAACTACATACTCTTAATTCAGACAACATTTCAAACAAAGGGGTAAAGTTCTTTGAGTTAGGCTAACTACTCTCACACCTGTGTTAATGGGAATTTCTCATCTACTTCCCTCAGAAACACAGAGCTAATGAGTACTTTGATTAACATTGTTTACAGTTGGTCAGCATGGTTTACATAGGCTGCTGTAAGAAATATTGAAATGGAAACCCATTTTTGTTTTCTCAAAAAGAATTTGAGAAATATAACTCAGGTCTTCCCATCATGTGAAAAGATATTTGAAGTAAGCTAGAAACTACAGGTGACGTAAGGTTCATTTTCTTTTTCTGAGAACTGTTTTGTCAATGTCTGTGCATTTGTGCATGAGGGGAAACGGTGGGAAAGCATCTCCTGAAACAGAATGAGGAAATCGTTAGACATCAGACTTGGAAAGTTTTATTCAAAGGCAGAAGACAAGTCCACCAGTTGTTAGTTCCTTCTGATACCCTCTCCTTGCTCACAAGTCCTTGTCTCACAATAAGCTATTTTATTCATTGCATAGTCATGCTGCAGAACTTGGACTACAGCAAGACCCAAGAGCGATAACAGGTATGAACAAGAATAAACTCTCACAACATTGGCTAGTTGCAATCCTTAACTTAAAGTAGGCTCACGAGCAGTGTGTTGGTTAAAATCCTTCCACTGTTACTTTGTGCCTAAAAATAAAAATTTATCTAAAAGAAAGCATTTTGCACAGTTAACTGATTCATGAACTATCACACTACCATAGTTCATTTAAGACCTACCTCTAAAAGGCCTGTTTAATCAATTAAAAAACTGTACATTTTTTTTTTTTTTAAAGATTAAGTGGTTGGAATCTTCGTTTCTCCCATTTCACAAGCACATTCAACACTCAGGATTGGATCCATTGATGTCTGCTAGCTTTTCAGATTTTTTTTCTCTTTGAGTATGTTTTACCCAGCAAGTCTTTTGTACTAAAATACTCCTCACATGGGTGAGTTAAAAAAAATAATTAAAACTTCTTGACCAAATATATGTTCGCAGCTAATAGTCTGATGAACTTGCATCCATCTGGGGTGTTTATCTTAAGCCAGGAAACTAACACTCAGCACAACGTGCAATTTAGATGGAATGCATGACAAATCAGTGTAGGGTTCACTGCTGACAATGTTTTCCAACAATGTTAAAGTAGCGGATGTTTTCACCTAAAGTGTGGAATACAGTGTCCTCAAATCCAGTGGCAGTGATACATTTTTAACTGAGGACATGCCAAATTATAAATTCTCTCTTTCTTTAAGGATCAACTGGATAACCTGTGATTTTGTAAACATAGTAAGGTTCTTTACTTCAGCTAAACCTTCAAAAAGCCTTCCACCTTATTAGAACATAAATTACTTCCTATCAGTGGTATAAATTACTCAAAATGAAGAAGTATCATCTAATTGATTTTTTAAAATTTATCTGCAAGTAAAACATGTAAAAACATGTAGACGCCACAAATTTGAGTAGCAAAATGATGAATGTGTCTGGGAAGCACCCACCTGCTCTGTATAGTTCCAGGATATGTTCAGCTACTGCTGTGGCAAAAAAAGCACTGAGAAAGACCAAAAAGCACCTTTCCATCTTTCACACACATATAAATTGCATAGCATCTTCTATATCTGTAAAGGCAACACTAGATGTCTCAAGACTACTGTGAAGCACAAGCCTAAGTTCTCTTCTCAAAGGTTAAAGTTTTCAGTAATAACATCACAACGGACATCTTTGGACAGCTTTCATATAAATGGTTCAGAACAGACAGACATATAAGCCTCCAGATCAAGTTGATAAACAAGTGCTTGAGCTACTTCAGTTCTCATTCCTTAGTCTGTAAAATATTTGAAGAATTCTAAGAATATCAACTGAAAGATCATTCATAGCTTCATCAATTAATCAAAACACACTAATACATAGCAATGATAAGATTTTATTTTATGAATTCCTAAATATACACAAACATATTTCGGTCTCAGGTTTCCAAGAAGCATCAGAAACCACCTTCTTAAGAGTGCTTACTTTGGCTGGAGGAGAACTGTTGTGTTGTGCCTCTTTTGATTGTCCCTTGTCTTCAGGTAAGGTTGGCATGGTGGACAGCGTGAAGCACGTGGAACTGCAATGTGGACTAACAGGACCATGCACTGCTGAGAATATCTGTTTCAAGTTAGCCTGAAGGCATAAGCGCTGAGAGGCCTTGTGATCCGCAGGCTGTGTTAGACGCCAAAAATACAAATCAAATCCATTTAAAACTCTATGCTCTAACACTGAGATCACTCTACAATAACAAACAGTATTAAGGTTTAAAATTAAAACCGCTATCTTATGTTTTATTAACTAAAGCTTTGAAGGTCAAGTATAACTTAGTAAATGCACTCAAAGCGGGCAACCTTCTGTTCTTGGTGCTATTTCCATCTCTTTCCTCCATTTTACAGATTTTCTTTTGTCACTATGACTGTTTTGGCTGTGACCAAACTCCTCTCTCTAAAAATCCTTGAAGAGGGAAACAGCATCCTGGATATCTATAATATACCTTTTTAGTAACTAACAAAATCCTCATGCTACAGAGTGTGATCTCAGATCTTAAAGAAAGAGAAAAACTGGAAACTCAGATGGTGGCACTCTTCCTTTGAGCAAGAGCAAGGCCAAGGTGAATTGTGCAAAGACTTGGTGTACATCTGCACAAGACAACACTGTGCAAGACACTTCCAAAGCAAAACAGCAGTAATGCCCTAATAAAAAAAAATAAAAATCACTGCCTATTAACTAAGTAAATACTTGTTATTAGTATCAGGGAGAGTTACGGCCTTCACAAGGATATTAGCATTAAAGCCAGCAAAAAGTACAGCAGTCTGAAGATGAGAAATGTTAAGTACTAATCCTTACAGCTACAGAATATGGATTACAAAACTTACTATGACACCTACCGGATAGTTAAGGAACAGTCCTCACAAATGAATCACTCGACTCCTTGGTGGTGCCTACAGATGACAGACAATGCAGTTATCAGAGACAATCTGGTACACGCTGTCTGTCGGGACTAATAAGGGCTAACTATATTCTCTTTACAGGTAACTCACAGCTGTGTATAGAACAGATCTATACACTCAAACGATAATACAACAACCTCAGTAGTGTGCCAAGGAGATAAATATACCCAACAAGCATAAGTTCAACCTCCAAAACGTGTCTTCTCCCAAATCTGAATTCCTATTCTCATCTCAATTCTTTCACTCTTCTGGAAATCAAGACAGACGGAACAAAGAGGTTGAGGTGGGGAGATGATCTGAAGGTCAAGATACTTACCAGCATTTTAAGATTAACCTCCTACAGTTTTCCCTTTCATTTCAGGGAAAGGCAAAGAAATGTATTCAGAAGCATGTCGGTTTATTGAGGCTGACAATTAAAATTGTCAAAATAATTGTGTTGATTTGGAAAAAAAAAAAACCCACACAGAAAAACCCTCCAAAACCATTCACAGGAAACACTGAAGCAGCCTCAGTAGCAACAAGTTCCTCATCTCAGCTTTCACAGAAAAAGTTCTGTGTTGTAAAATCTACATAATGTGTAAAAACTTGGGACTACAGAAGCAGCTAAGACCCATGCTTTTATTGGATTTATTTCACATTATATTGAAAACCTAATTTTCTCTTTCACTAGAAGAGGAATACAAGGCCACCTCACATGAAATTTAATGCAGAACTAATAAGTTTTAAAAATTATCTCTACACAAGTATTACTGTGTTCAGAAAAAATAATTATTTCATGGAAGTTCTTTGATAAAGACAATGGAAAAGATGCAGCATATGTGACATCATTATGAAGACCAAGACAAAGACTTTTTTTTGAACAGTGAGAGTAATTTTTTTCAGAGCAGTATATGCTGTAGGAACAGCATGTTTCATGCTTATGCAGACATTTAGAACCTGTTACAGGTGAATTTCTAGCTCTACTGCAGTAAGTGGAAGCTAATGTTTGCATCATGATTTTACCCATCTCTGACTTCAAAAAAGAGAAGAGGCTTTCTATGAATAAAAAGCAGATTGCAGATTTTAAAAAGTTTCTTAAGGCAAAATATCTTTAAAGTCCCTGATATGATGGAAAACAGACATTTATGATTACACATATTTTAGTAAACCCACAGAGATTAGGCAGATAGCAGTAGCATTAAACATCTGTATGTTTCAACAATTAAGTATTTTTTGTACCAAAAACCAGTCACCAACTATTAACAACATATGAAGATGAGACAGAAGAGAGGTAACTAAAAAAAGTGACATGGACTTGCTTTTCATCTCTGTAACAGAATCCTGGCATCCTATGCAATTTCTGAGTTTGCAAGAACTCAAACTCAAACAAACACAAAACAGAGAAGATAGATATAAATTTGGCTGTTTATCTAATCTATCTTAGTGTTTGCCTTATGAATTTACAATGGTTCTGATAGGCTCAGCTCAACAGAACGCTGGGCCTGAAAAATCAGGAATCTTTCAAGTCATGGCCAAAGCATATTTGCAGTCCTACATGGAGTTGTATAAGCTATTGCATCAAAGTGGTTTATTCCTGGTCTTAGCTGAGTTCCTAGTACATATTAAACTTAAAAAAGTAATGCAAGTCATATTGAAACAAGAAAGAGCTATTAAGCACATCGAGTTTCAGTTCATTTTTCAGATTTAAAAAGAAAAAAAACTTTAAAAGAACAACAACAACAAAAAAAGATCAGCAGGCTTGTCTAAGAATAGAAAGGGACAAATCCCGAGCTGTGTTGTCTTAGAGATGCAGCACAGAAAGTACAGCCAAGGAAGAACCGAGGGTAGAAAGATGAATTCATGCCACCTTAACAACCCTCAGATTTGGAATGGATTGAGTTCAGTCCATCTCTGACACAATTGGAACCTTACCCTGACTTCCTTACAGAGCTATCTTGTAAATAGGAAAAAGCTTCAAATCTTTGTTGTGCTGATCAGTAGGTAAATTTCTCTTTCTGACTTTCCATTTTTTCTGAATATCTCTCCAGAGAACCTCAGTGCCAAGGACTGTATTGGAACAACAAAAGCTTGCATATAATTATTCATATTCTGAGGCTTCTTAAAACAAATGCAGTCTTTGCACACCTTGACTGCACTGCTGCAGTCCTCTAAGGTGCCAAAGTAAGGGCTACTTATTGATATTTCAAGAAAAAAAAATATAAAGACATAGCTAATTCATAAGCTGTATGATTTAGAACTCCTAAATTATTATTTCTTCAATCTAAAGCTTATTTTAACCTGTGCAGTGTTCTTAAAATCAGTAGTCCAGAGCCTTTAAAGACTTTATGATGCTTAACCAGCACAAACATCACATCTTATAAATCCCAATGAATATAACCAATGGAGCCACCATCTTGCCCCATACTGTGAAGGCATTCTGCCATTTTCTGTATCAACTACTGCCTTCTGATGCTAGTAGGAAAGGTGAAGGCTTAAAAATAATGGAACCTTAAGATACTAGTAAATAAATGTTGTTCTTCCATCACTGCTGAAGTGACCTTATGCCTATTTGATTGAGCAATGAAAATAGCCTTAGTAAATGTCAGTGAGAGTCCAAACATACAGAAAAAAGGGGCTTCATGAAAACACTCTTAACAAGAATTAGAGGAGCTTATCTGCATCTCACAAACGTAGGAAGAAAAGAAATGCCCTTGGAAAACTTATTTCCCTGGAAGGTAGATTTTTTTCTTCTTTATTTTTCTTCTTTAGTAAAGCATTAGGGAGGAGTACAGCCTTTGAATCTACAGAAATTTGCATCTCTATCTATAAAAACAGCTTACAGCCATACTGAACCCTGAGCCAAAGTGCAGAGAGCATGACTATCCTGTTTCTAAGCCTGGCATCTAACAGCTGAACAGCCTTTGGAATCAGGCTGCCATTAGCTTTGCTAGCTTTATCTCCTTTCCACAAGGATAAACATGTTCCAGTCAAAGAAGGAAACGATATGTTAACAATACATGCAAGACAGTGAGATACCAACTGAAACACTGTAATTATTGTCCCTGAAGATACTGACATGATAAAAAGTACCTCTTCACTTTAAAAACAGTCAAGGTGCATAAGTACATGTTAGTATCCCAGTCATTAAGACAATTTCAAGATTCTGCTGTTTCTTTTGTTAGGCATTGATCAAACTCTGTCTGGCCTACCTCTATCCTATCAAAAGATGTCTTGAGATTACTGTAGTGTTTTATCAGAGTGAATGATCTCCCTCAAAATTTCAGGCTTCTAGAAATTGCAGGAGCTTCAAAATTACCTTTCCAAATTAAATACCGCTAGAGATTAACTCACATGTCACAGGAAGAGTGGATGTGGGCAAAGATCTACAATCTTAGTCTGCACAAGCCCTTTGCACCTACAAAATGAGTTAAAAAAAACAAATTACCTATCCTGTTCATCAGATTCTGCTTATTCTCATACTAAGATGAGACAATTTAAAGAAAAAAAGTAAATAAAAGAAAGAAAGAAAGAAGAGAGGATAGAGTGCTTCTTAACATTTTGGTCTGTTTTTGTAAACTTACTGCTTAAAATAGTTAGGAAAAAAAATGATCCCCTGAGCTCAAATTTGTAGTCAGATATAGATCAGCGAATGCAGAGAACTTTCTTTTACCACTGTGTAGGCTTAGAGTACAATCTCCAGGAAATGGTGATCTGGAGCTCTATTCCTTAAAAGGGAAAAGTATTCAGAGGCCCTTGGCTTTCAGTGTGTTCTCTCTGCAACTCATTTTACCATAGTAGAGAAAGCTGAGTATAATCAGTTAACTTACCCTCTCTGAGTCACGGCTGAGCACTGTATCAGCAAGGCTTAGATAAAGGTGCTTTACTCCATCTCCACCGGTGGCTTGGCAGTTGACCTCAAATGCTCTGTCACATCACAACAAGGACACATAACAAAAACAGAAATAAACAGTTAAGAAAGCATTTTATTAATATTTCTTGACCTCATGCTGCCTGCAGTCAAGTCAAGCAATTCTCATTTGTCAACAATGAGAGTTGCATACCCATGGAAACAGCTGAACTGCACAATTCTGAGCTGCTTTTTCCAAGTTTTTCTTTGTTGTCCTGTAAAGCAGTTGTAAAACATTACCATATTAGAAAG